TAAAAAGATCACATACCACGATCAAGGGGGATTTGTTGCAGGAATGCAAGAATGGTTCAACAACCAAAACTCAATCAAGGAGATACACAACATTAATAAAACAAAGGATAAAAGTCATATGATCATCTCAACAGATGCAGAAAAAGCATCTGGCAAAATTCAAAATCTATTTATGATAAAAACTCTCAAAAAAGTGAGTATAGAAGAAATGTACCTCAACATAATAAAGTCCACGTATGACAAATCCACAGCTGACATCATACTCAAAAGTGAAAAGTTGAAGGTTTTTCCTCTACAGTCAGGAACAAGATTAGGATGCTTGCTCTTGCCACTTTTATTCCATGTATTATTGGAAGTCCTAGCTACAGCAATTAGATAAGAAAAAGAATAAAAGGCATCTAGAAGACCAGTGGGAACCCCTGCCTGCACCATGTTGCCTGACCAGAGAGTTCGGCAGGGCCTCAGTTCTAGTGGAAGTAGTGTGAGGTCTCATTTAACAAATAGACCAGAGCATACCTAGTTAAAACTCGCCACATTCTAGCCAAGGACCAAACGCTGCCCACTGCAGGCAAGGAGAGCCTCTGCAGACAACTGGCCTGAAGCATAGAGCAGCCAAAACACAACAGCAGAGTGCATGAAGCACACACCAGCCACACTCCCTGAAGGGCCAGGCCCTGGACACTCTATGACCTCTTCTTCATAAAGCCATTACTTTCAGGAGCAGGTAATACAACAGGCTTTCTAACACAGAGAAGAAGGCAGAGACTTAGACAAAATGCCAAGACAGAGGAATTCATCTCAAATGAAAAAATAAAATAAGGCCACAGCCAGATCTGAATGAAACAGAAATAACATGCCTGATGGAGAATTTAAAGCAGCAATCATAAGGATACTCACTGGGCTTGAGAAAAGAATGGAAAACATTAGGGAGACCCTTACCACAGAGATAAAAGAGTTAAAAAAGAATCAGCCTGGGGGTTCAAACCATGTCTGAGAGCGGCCGGATACCTCAGGCCTGGGCGCTTCTGCAGCAGTGCCTGCACGCCAGGCTGCAAGTACGTCCAGCCGAGGGAGACGCCAAGAGCCAGTGGGTGGAGATTCAGAGAGGATTAGTAATCTACGTGTGTTTTTTCTAGGGAGCTAATTAAGAACTTCTTCCCAAAATGATTAATATACTGTTAAATGTGAAGTTAAGTGAAACAGAAAATGGTAAGCACATGTCTATATTGGACCTCCCTGGCAATGTTCTAATCATCCCTCAAGCCACCCTTGGGGGGAGAGTAAAAGGAAGAAACATGCAGTATCACTCTAACTCTGGAAAAGAAGAAGGCTTGGAACTTTATTCCCAATTTGTGACTCTATGTGAAAAAGAACTGGCTGCCAACAGCAAGTGTGCCGAAGCTGGGGTTGTGGTGGAACATGGTACATACGGGAACAGGCAGGTGTTACAGCTGGATACCAATGGACCATACACACACCTAATTGAGTTTTGAAAAATTAAAAAGTTAATTTCTACAAAAAAAAAAAAAAGAATCAGCCAGGGGTGGGTGGGGGAATGGGTTAGCCTGGTGATGGGTATTAAGGAGGGTATGTTCTGCATGGAGCACTGAGTGTTATATGCAAACAATGAATCATGGAACACTACATCAAAAACTAATGATGTAATGGTGATTAACATAACAAAAAAAAAATCAGCCAGAAATGAAGAAGGCAATAATTGAGATTGGAAACAGGCTTGATGCAACAAAAGGCTGGAAGAAGCAGAGGAATAAATAAGTGATATAGAAGACAAAATAATGAGAAAAAATGAAGCTGAACAAAAGAGAAAAAGAATTACAGAACACAAGAAGAGACTTAGGGAACTCAGTGACTCCTTCAAATGTTGTAACATTCATGTGCTAGAATAAGAAGAGAGAAAAGGCAGCAGAAAATTTATTTGAGGAAATAATAGCTGAAAACTTCCCTAATTTGGGGGAAGGAAACAGACATCCAGATCAAGGAAGAACAGAGAACTTCCATCAAAATCACAAAAGCAAACCAACAACAAGACATATTGTAATTAAATTTGCAAAATACAGTGATAAAAAAAAAAATCTCAAGAGCAGCAAGAAAAAAGAAGCCCTTAACTTACAGGAGAAAACTGAGAAGGCTAGCTGGAGATTTCTCAAAAGAAACTTGGCAAGCCAGAATAAGGGAGTGGCATGATATGAATGAGAAAACTCTGTAGCCAAGAATACTCTACCCAGCATGGCTATAATTCAGAATAGAAGAAGAGATAAAGAGTTCCTCAGACAAACACTAAAGGAGTTTGTGACCACTAAACCAGCCCCACTAGAAATATTAAAGGGGACTCTTTGAGTGGAAAGGAGAGACCAAAAGTGATAAAGACAAGAAAGGATCAGAGAAAATCTCCAGAAACAATGACAAAACAAGTAATAAAATGGCACTAAATACATATTTATCAGTAATTACTTTGAATGTAAATGGGCTAAACTCTCTCAAAAGACATATGGTGTCAGAATGGATTAAAAAAACAAGACCCATCTATATGTTGCCTAAAAGAGACTCATTTTAGACCTAAAGACACCTGCAGACTGAAAGTGAGGAAATGGAGAAACATTAATCATGCAAATGGATGTCAAAAGAAAGCCAGAGTAGCAATACTTATATCAGACAAACTGGACTTTAAAACAAAGATTGTAACAAGAGATGATAATAAAGGGGACAATCTGACAAGATGATCTAACAATTGTAAATATTTATGCACCCAACATGGGAGCACCCAAATATATAAAACAATTATAACAAACAAAAAGGAACTGATTGGTGATAATACAATAATAGTAGGGGACTTTAACACCCCACTACATCAATGGGCAGATCATCTAAACTGAATACCAACAAGAAAACAAGGGCTTTGAATGACACACTGGACCAGATGGACTTAACAGATATATTCAAAACATTTCATCCTAAAACAGCAGAATATACATTCTTTTCAAGTGCATATGGAACATTCTCCAGAATTGATCCCATATTAGGTCACAAATCAGGCCTCAACAAATATGAAAAGACTGAGATCATACCATGCATCTTCTCTGACCACAACACTAAGAAACTTGAAGTCAGCCACAAGAAAAAATTTAGAAAGACCACAAATACATGGAGGTTAAACAACATGCTACTAAACAATGAGTGGGTCAACCAGGAAATCAAAGAAGAAATGAAAAAAACTAACAGGGAAACAAATGAAAATGAAAACACAATAGTCCACACCTCTGGGATGCAACCAAAGCAGTTCTAAGAGGGAAGTATATAGCAATATAGGCTTATGTTAAGAAGCAAGAAAAATCTCAAATAAACAACCTAACTTTACACCTAAAGGATCTAGAAAAAGAACAACAAATGAAGCCTAAAGCCACATCATATATCATTAGGGAAATGCAAATTAAACCAATGAAATTCTACTATACATCTGTTAGAATAATTTCCATAACACTGACAACAACAAATGCTGGTGAGAATGTATAGCAACAGGAACTCTTATTCATTGCTGGTGGGAATGCAAAATGGTACAGTCACTTTGGAAAGCAATTTGGCAGTTTCTTTTCTTTTTTTTTTTTTAAGAGATTTTATTTATTTGAGAAAGAGGGAGAGAGGGAGAGAGAGCAAGCACACAAGCGGGTGTGGGGGGCAGAGGGAGAAGGAGAAGCAGATTCCTCACTGAGCAGGGAGCCTGATGTAGGGCTTGATCCCAGGACCCTAGGATCATGACCTGAGCCAAAAGCAGGTGCTCATCTAACTGAGCCACCCAGACACCCCAGTTTGGCAGTTTCTTACAAAACTAAACACACGATCCAGTAATCATGCCATTAACATTTATCCAAGTGACTTAAGAATTTATGTCCATACAAAAACCTGTACGTGGATATCTATATCAGCTTAATTCATAATTACCAAAACTTGGAAGCAGGTAAGATGTCCTTCAATGGGTGAATGGTGAATAAACTGTGGTACGTCCAGATGATGGAATATTATCTAGCACTAAAAGGAAATGAGCTATCAAGCCCCGAAAAGACACAGACAAAACTTTAACACAAACTTTAATGCATATTACTTAGTGAAAGAAGCCAATCTAAGAAATCTACACACTGTATGATTCCAACTACATGACCTTCTGGAAAAGGCAAAACTAAGGAGACAGTAAAAACATCAGTGGGTGCTGAGGGTTAAGGGGGGGAGGGAAGAATGGAACATGAATGATTTTTAGGGCAGTGAAACTATTCTGTGTGATACTATAATGGTGGACATAAATCATTACATATTATTCCAATCCACAGAATGTACAATACCAAGAAAGACCATAATGTAAGCTAGGAACTTTGGGTGACAATGATGTGTCAATGTGGGTTCACTGATTATAATAAATATATAATTCTGTTGCCAGATTTTGACAGTGGGGAAGGCTTTGTGTATGTGGGGGCAGAGTATGTGTGGGAAATCTATGTACCTTCTGCTTAATTTTTCCGTGAACCTAAAATTGCTCTATTTAAAAGAAATTGTACTCTATAAATCCTGTAACTAAAAAATCAATGTTAGTTATAACAGAAAGTAACTCTTCCCTTCTTTCTTTCCATTCTTCTTACCTTCCCTTCTTCCTTCTATCCTTCCGTCCTTCCTGCCTTCCTTCTGTTCTTTCTTCCTTTCTTTCTTCTTGAACAGTTCAGTCCAAAACCATTAGGTGAGTCCAAGCAAGCTAAGTCCGTGTGGGTTGTGGAACAGCCTTGTGAGAGGTTGCACAAATAAGGGTAGGAAGACATCCTTGCAGCATGAGGTAGAATGTCAGAGTGTGCAAATGGGGGTGGGAGCAGTTGTGCTGAAGGCCCAGTGCAAGATGTTGAAGTCTAAGAAGAATAAAGGATGTATCCATACGTGGGGTTGGGGCAATAATAGGAAGGTCCATCGGCTGTTGGGTCTCAAACGGGATGAAGAGGGCAACCATGGTAACGCAGTGTGGAGTGCTGCAGATCCAGAGGGGTAAAGAGGGCATCCATAAGGTGAGGTGGCAGGAGCCAGCACAGGGTTCAGGTTTAAGAAGGGTGAGGAGAGCAACTGTGTGTGTTGGGGTGATAGCAGCAGCAGCTGGTGTGGGGTGTTAAAGCCTGAGCAGGGTGAGAAGCACACATGCAATGGGGATGGAGGTCGTATGAGGCAGGGCGAGATGTCAAAGCCCAAGTAGGGTGAGAAGGTCATATGGCCAGAGGAAAACATACTGTATGATCTCACATATATGTGGAATCTTAAACAAACAAACAAACTTATAAAAACAAGGAATTAACTGATGATTACCAAAGGCAGGGGGTTACGGGAGGAGACAAGTGATTGAAGGAGATCAAAAGGTACAAACTTGAAGTTGTAACATAAGTAAGTTCTGGAGGCGCCTGGGTGGCTCAGTTGGTTAAGCGACTGCCTCCGGCTCAGGTCATGATCCTGGAGTCCCAGGATTGAGTCCCCAATCGGGCTCCTTGTTCAGCAGGGAGTCTGCTTCTCCCTCTGACCCTCCCCCCTGTCATGCTCTCTCTCTCTCTCTCTCTCTCTCTCTCATTCTTTCTCTCAAATAAATAAATAAAATATTAAAAAAAATAAGTAAGTTCTGGAGATGTAATGGATAGCATGTTGACTATAGTTAACAACATTGTATCGTATATTTGAAAGTTGCTAAGAAAGTAGATTTTAAAAGTTTTCACCACAAGAAAAAAATGTAAATATGTGGGGTGATAGGTACTAATTAAACTTATTGTGGTAATCATTTCACAATGTATACATATAGCAAATCATTATGTTGTACACCTTAAACTTATACAGTGTTATCTGTCAAGTACATTTTAATAAAACTGGAAAAAATCCACAAAAATTTTCCCTCTTTCCTCCCCTGAGACCCTGGTAACTACTATTTGCTTTCTGTGTCTATAAATTTGGCTAATCTAGGTACCTCATATAAGTGGAATTACACAATATTTGTCCTTTTGTGTCTGTCTTATTTCACTAAGCATGTTTTTTAAGATCCATCCTGCTGTAGCATATATCAAAATTTCATTCCTTCTTCATAAAAAGATTCAGCCATGCTGAATAATATTCTATTATCTATATATCACATTTTGTTTAGCTACCCTTTCGTGAATGTATATTTGGATTGTTTCCACCTTTTGACTATTGTGACGAATGGTGCTATGGAAATTGGTATAAAAATATGTTTGACAGTATAGAGGTTCCTCAAAAAGTCAAAAATAGAACTACCTTACAAACCAGCAATTGCACTACTAGGTATTTACCCAAAGGAAAAAATATACAGATTCAAAGGGGTACATGCACCATGATGTTCATAGCAGCATTATCAACAATACCAAACTATGGAAAAAGCCCAGATGTCTGTGGACCGATGAATGGATAAAGAAGATGTGGTATATACACACAATGGAATTTTACTCAGCCATCAAAAAGAATAAACTCTTGTCATTTACAAGGACATGCATAGAGCTAAAGTGTATTATGCTAAGCAAAATAAGTCAGTCAGAGAAAGACAAACATCATATGAGTTCACTCATATGTGGAATTTAAGAAACAATAAGGATGAACATATGGGAAGGGGGAAAATAGAGAGAGGAGAAACAAACCATAAAAGACTCTTAAAGACAGAGAACAAACTGAGGGTTGATTGAGGGGGATGGGCTAGATGGGTGATGGAGGGCACTTGTCATGTTAGGCACTGGGTATTGTATGCAAGTGATGAATCACTGAATTCTACTCCTGAAACCAATATTGCAATGTATGTTAACTAACTCGAATTTGAATAAAAATTTGAAGAAAAAAAATTAAGTCGCTTAGTATAAAAAGTTGGAAGAAAAAGAATAAAAATCCCCGTATTAAAAAAAAAATCTGAGTCTGTTCTTCAAATTCTTTTGTGTCCATACCCAGATAGGAAATTGTTGCATGAGATGGTAATGCTATGTTGAAGTTTTTAAGGAAGCTCTATACTGCTTTCCGCAGCAGCTGCACCATTTTACATTCCCAGCTGCAATGCACAAGAGTTCCAATTTCTCCCATCCACACCAACACTTGCTGTTGAGTGTTTTTTTTTTTTTTAAAGATTTTATTTATTTATTTGAGAGAGAGAGAATGAGAGATAGAGAGCACGAGAGGGAAGAGGGTCAGAGGGAGAAGCAGACTCCCTGCTGAGCAGGGAGCCCGATGTGGGACTCGATCCCGGGACTCCAGGATCATGACCTGAGCTGAAGGCAGTTGCTTAACCAGCTGAGCCACCCAGGCGCCCTGTTGAGTGTTTTTATCATGAAAGGGTGCTGATTTTTGTTAACATGCTTTTTCTGCCTCAATCAAAATGGTCATGCGGTTTCCCCCCTTCTTTCTATTAATCTGGTACATTCCATTTTCCCAGCTTTATTGAGATATAATTGACAACTCAAATTGTATATATTTACCATGTATAATGTGTTGATTTGATATACATATACTTTGTGAAATGATTACCACACTCAGATTAATTAACACATACATCATGTTACATAGTTATATTACCTTTTGTTTTAGAGGTGAGAATGCTTACTCTCTTAGCAAATTTCAAGTATACAAGACAGTATTATTAACTATAATCATCATGATGTATGTACATCAGATCCACAAAACTTATTCATCCTACAACTGAAAGCTTGTACCCTTTGACCAGCATCTTTCCACTTTCCCTATTCCCCAGCCCTGGTAACTGCCATTCTACTCTCTTTCTATGAGTTAGACCTTTCTATGGTTTTGTTTTGTTTTTAAGAGTCCAGACATAAGTGAGATCATACAGTATTTGTGTTTACCTGTCTGGCTTATTTCACCAAGCATTACCTTTTCTAGGCTCGTACATATCATTGCAGATAGCAGGATTTCCTTTTTTCTCATGACTGAATAATATTCACATGAGGCTTACATAAAACATCTTGTAGTTTTAGCAGTGTATTCTAAGCTGATAACTTCTATTACATACAAAAACTACCCTTTTACTCCCTCTATTTTGTTTTTGATGTCTCATCTGTTTTTAGTAGTGTATTGGTTGACAAACTATTGTAGCAATAGTTATTTAATACTTTGTCTTTTAACCTTTGCATTAGAGTTAAGTGATTTATACAGCATTGAAGTATAGTATGAATATTCTGTAATTTACTGTATTCTTACCTTTACCAGTATGTTTTATTTTTTCATATGTTTTCATGTCAGTAGTTAGCATCCTTTCATTTCAGCTTGAGGAACTACTTTATGGCAGATCTAGTGATGATTAACTTCCTCAGACTTTATTTGTCAGGGAAATTTTTTATCTCTCCTTCACTTCTGAACCACAGCTTTCCTGAGTAAAGTATTTTGGTTTTCTTCTTTCAGCACTTTGATTTTTCATTCTTACTCTGTCCTGGCCTGCAAGGTTTGTGCTGAGAATGACACCAATAGCCTTATGGAGTTTACCTAGTGAGATTTTTTTTTTTCTTTTAATATTTTCTCTTTGATTTGAGACTGTTTTATTATAATGTATTTGTAGAAGATATCTTTGGGTTGAATCTGTTTGGGGACCGATGAGCTTCATAAACTTGGCTGCCTATATCTCTTTCCAGATACGGGATGTTCTCAGGCTGGCTTTCTTTCTTTCTTTCTTTCTTTCTTTCTTTTTTTCTTTTTTAAGATTTTTATTTATTTATTTGTCAGAGGGAGAGTGCACAAGCAGGGGGAGCGGCAAGCAGAGGGAGAAGCAGGCTCCCCACTGAACAGGGAGCCAGATGCAGGACTCGATTTCAGGACCCTGGGATCATGACCTGAGCCCAAGGCAGCCACTTAATTGACTGAGCCACCCAGGCGTCCCCTCAGTCATTATTCCTTTAAATAAGTTTTCTGCACCTTTCTTGCTCTCTTTTCCTTCTGGTATTCCCAAAAATGCAGAAATTGTTTCAGTTGATGATATTTCATAATCCATGCGGTCTTTCTCCACTCTTTTTCATTCTTTTTGTTGTTTTTGATCTCTGAATACATAATTTTAAGTGCTTTGTCTTCGAGTTGAGATTCTTTTTTTTTAATAAGATTTTATTTATTTGTTTATTTGACAGAGAGAGACACAGCAAGAGAGGGAACACAAGCAGGAGACATGGGAGAGGGAGAAGCAGGCTCCCCGCTGAGCGGGGAGCCCGATGCGGGGCTCGATCCCAGGACCCTGGGATCATGACCTGAGCTGAAGGCAGACGCTTAACGACTGAGCCACCCAGGCGCCCAGCTCACAATTTTTTTTTTTTTTAAAGATTTTATTTATTTGAGAGAGAGAGAATGAGAGATAGAGAGCACGAGAGGGAAGAGGGTCAGAGGGAGAAGCAGACTCCCCGCCGAGCAGGGAGCCCGATGTGGGACTCGATCCCGGGACTCCAGGATCATGACCTGAGCCGAAGGCAGTCGCTTAACCAACTGAGCCACCCAGGCGCCCGTCTTTTTTTTTTTTTAAAGATTTTATTTATTCATGAGAGACAGAGAGAGAGAGAGAGAGAGAAGCAGAGGGAGAAGCAGGCTCCCAAGGAGCAGAGAGCCCGATGAGGGACTCGACCCCAGGACCCTAGGATCACGACCTGAGCTGAAGGCAGATGCTCAACCATCTGAGCCACCCAGGCGCCCCCAGCTCACAATCTTTTAATGGCTCCTCATTACATAATAAAAGCCGAAGTCTTTATAATGGACCTGATTGTGTCTCCCACAACTTCTGTGATTTCACTACCTCTCCTTCCACTATCTCTGGAACTTGCTGTACCCAGCCATATTGGTCTCCCTCCTCTAATAAACCAGGCATGTTCTGCCTTAGGGCCTTTGCGGGCCTAAGATTCTTTTTTTTTTTTTTTTTTATCAAGTCAGTTATTGATGTTCATTATTGCAATTTTCATTTCATTCATTGTGTTCTTCAGCTCCAGAATTTCTGTTTAGTTCTTTTTTTGTGATTTCTGTCTCTTTGTTAAACTTCCCATTTTGTTTACGTGTTGTTTTTCTGAATTTATTGAAATGTTTTTCTTTGTTTCTCTGTAGGTTACTGAGCTTCCTTAAAGCAACTATTTTGAATTTTGTCTTATTCAGATCATAGATCTCCATTTCTTTTGGGTTAGTTACTGAAAAATTATTGTGTTCTTTTGGTGGTTTCATATTTCCTTGATTTTTCATGTTCCTTGAAGTGTTGGATTACTGTCTTGGCATTTGAAGAAATGGTAACCTCCTCTAGTCTTTACTGTTTGGCTTTGGGAGAGAAATAATTTCTGTCAGCCTGTCTAGGGATTCTGAGATTTCCTTAGACCTTTTCTATGGGTATGCCTGCTCCACACTTCTTGTTCCCTTTATGTGTGTGTGTGTGTGTCATTCTTAAGATTATATGCCTTCGTTTTGCAAAGCTAGACCTACTGCTAACTGACAGCTTCAGCTTTACTTTGCCTAGGATAGTGGTAAATGTTCAAGTTTGTTTGCTTTTTCACAAACAAACTTGCAGAGTTGGGCCAGTTTTCTGTGTGTGTCCATGAACCCTCTGCAATGCTTGCACTTGCCACTCTCATGGGCACACACAGGGAACTGACCCCAAGGTGTGGGTATGTGGGGGGGCAGGTTATGTGGGTGAGGTGTAGAGAGCATTAGGGATGCTGTGGGCTAGTTGGGGGAATCTGCAGGCAAGACCTCTTGAGTGGTTTGTGGTGGCCTTTGTAATGAAGTCCACAAAGCAGTTAAGTACGTTCCACATCTCTGTGATGCACTCTAAGTCCTGCTTGCTATGCTCCTATTCTCTCCTCACCCTCAGGTGTGCAGCTTACCTCAGTATTCCAGATGGGGTAAGAAAAAGTGGGCCTCTTTGGCAGTGTCTCACATAGCTGGGGAAGCTGGGCACTCACTCACATGCTCTCACTTTCTGCTGTGGGAGAAATTGCAGACCAAAGTGCTCCTCTTGGTACTAAGCTGTGCCCCCTGTGGGAACCGAGACACAGATAACGTAAAACTATTTCTCTTACTTTCTTCAATGCAATGGATTTCTTCAAATCCAATCTTGGATTTTTTTTTTCTTTCTTCAAGGATGTGCTAGAACTTCTCCACTGGACTGTCGGACTCGCATAACGGATACTCTCATTCACCAGTGTTGTCAAAATCAGGGTTCTTTGAGGGGAAGATGTTAGAAAACTACTACTCCTATAGTTTATTACATTGAAAGGTTTTTGTATGTAGAACCATCCCTGCACTCTGGGAGTAAATCTCACTTGGTCATGATATATAAACTTTTTCTTTTTTTTTGAAACATGTTATCATATTAGAACAGCATGGGTTTTTTTTTTTTTTGGATCTATAAATCTTTTAATATGTGCTGAATTTAGTTTGCTAGTATTTGGTGGGTGATATTTGGATCTTACTATTTTCATGGAAGGAAGGAATGCAACATATGGAAGAACAAAAATTTAACTTAGAAAAATTGGAGGAACAGAGATTTTCCATGTGGTTATTTTCATATTTTAAAAACATTAAGACTTGACATTGCACACCTGTGAAAAATATAATTAAATATTTTACAAATATGATAGAACAATTTGAATTGTACTTTCCCTCAAAAGAAGATTGCTGAATAGGAAAATGATAGATCTAGAACCCATTTCTTTTATTGAAAGATATTTAAAATTTTAATTATTACTGCATGGGATAAACTGTTGGACCTATCCACTTACAAGGTTTGAATATGAATTTTGAAAATACATCATCAGTTCATTTTGGGTAAAGGTCAAGAATGAACCGTAAATTTACTGAAGTTGCTTTAAAATCTATTCTTCCATTTCCATTAACATACCTCCATGAGATAGTTTTCCTACCATGAGAACGTAGAACTAGTTTAGACATAAATTTTCCTGTTAAGTAGAGCTTTTATCAATCCAACCACTTTAGATAAATGACCAAACAAGAAACAATATCATTTGTCACACTGAAAGCTTTAAATATTTATATTCAATGTATTCATTCAAAGTGTGCTTACAGGCATTTAATGAGAATAGAATTTCGCTCATATCTTTGCTTTAGTTACAATTGTAGAACAAATATTTAGTGTAATATCCATTCACTGTAATAAATGCTAATTGGTAGTTTTCCTCTAAGCAAAGTGTACAATTTCTTAAATTACTTTCTCTCTGTTCTGATTGTTTATTGAAATGTAATTTTATGTCTGTTGAATTTCACATTTAAAAAATGAAATAGCGTTTTGTACAATTTTTTCCACTTTAATCTACGTGTAATTTATTTTTATCTTAATTTTGTTAAGTATCAGTGACCGATGGATTAAAAGAAAACTGGTCCTTCATCGTGGACAGTAAGTAGCACTAGTCTAAATACCTAAAGTGTGCTCTTCCAGAGCAGACTGCATTTAATTCAAATTTGCCTGACTGGGCCTTAGACAATTATTAATTAAATGAATGAATTTTCAATACTCGACCTTAGGCCCACACCCCCTTTTTAAAAAAAAAAGTTTATTTATTTGACAGAGACAGACACAGCGAGAGAGGGAACACAAGCAGGGGGAGTGGGAGAAGGAGAAGCAGGCTTCTCAGGGAGCAGGGAGCCCGATGTGAGGCTCGATCCCAGGACCCTGAGATCATGACCTGAGCTGCAGGCAGACGCTTAAGGACTGAGCCACCCAGGCGCCCCTTCGGCCCACACCTTAATCAGATGTCTGTTACAGTCCCTCAATGATTACAGTTGCAGATATATATATATTTATTTATTTATGATTTTATTTATTTATTTGAGAGAGAGAGTGAGAAAGAGTGCACAAGAGGGGGTAGGGTCAGAGGGAGAAGCAGACTCCCACTGAGCAGGGAGTCCGATGCGGGACTCCACGCCGGGACTCCAGGATTGTGACCTGAGCCGAAGGCAGTCGCTTAACCAGCTGAGCCACACAGGTGCCCTACAGTTGCAGACATTTTTAAAAGTGTATTAAATGCTAGGACCTGCGTAAGCGCTTTCCCTTTCACCTATCTCACTCACGTTTTCCTACCTTCCCGGGAGAGGGCGTGCCCAGTACCACGGCCCACCCTATCTGTGCATTCGTTGGCCAAACCCGACGGCCGTTACTGCCGAGTCCCGCCCAAACCACGCCCCCACGCAGCTGCAGGGCCGAGAGAAGGCGTGGTTATTGTGCCGATGGACGATTCAGACGGTCTCCTCTCGTGAGCATCGGGAAGTGCCGGAGGACCCGCTTGGTGCGAGTGGGAGCGCGCTCCGGCTCGAGAGGCCCGTGGTCGCTGCGGGCGCACGCCCGGCCCCACCCCCTCTCCGGTACGCAGGCTCCGCTCGAGCTTGCGCACGCGCGCGCGCTCCCTTTCAAGCCTCAGTCTGATCAGCGGCGGCCCGGCGGGTGGAGGCTGGGCCCCCGAGGTACGAGGGGAGGGGCCGGAGCTGCTGCAGCTGCCGCCGCCACCGCCCCGCCGCCGCCGCCGCTGCTGCTGGAGAGAAGCATGTCTGCAACTCGAGCCAAGAAAGTGAAGATGGCCACCAAATCGTGCCCCGAGTGCGACCAACAGGTGGGTGCGGAGGGCCGGGCCCGGGGGCCGGCGGGCGGACGGGCTGCCGTTGTCTGCGGCCGCTGGCTGTGGAGAGGCCGCCTCGCCTGGTGGTCTGGCCCTTGGGCTCGGTGGCCACGGTGGGAGCCCGGTGGGAGGCCGGGCTACGCCGAGGGGATGCCAGGGAGACTCCCGGGGTCGCAGTCCGGCCGGTGCCCACCTGGCGGCGTTAGCTGGGCGACTGTGTGTGTCCCGCGGCCCGTGGCGCGGGAGGGAAGCGTGGGTTTGTCTGGAGCGGACGGGGCGCCCTGACCGAACCCTCCCGGAGTCGCCTGGCTGGCTTTGGGTGACAGCGGCGGGAGTGTGGGGGCAGTGGCCTAAATAGAGGAGCACGGCCCCTTCAGATCCCTTCTGCCCCGACGAGAATGCCCAGTGTGCCCGGCTCCGAGTCCAGGCTCCTGGCTCCTGGCTGCGAAAGCCGCTCCTGCGACGCAGGGTTGCTTTGTTCCCATCAGATCTATACTGTGACAAAAAGGGCCGCAGCGATTATGACATTTTCCTTTTAGATGTCAATAAATTGTGATCGTAATATGTCTTTTATACTTTATATAAATCATTACTTTGTTCTAAATTTTTGATAGAACACCACTGAAAAGCCCTACTTTTCTAGGCACTCCCCTCTTAAAATGGTATGTATTTGTCTAAGTTTTTAAAAAGATGAGTTTGCCATTTCTACCTGTGTGTGGTTTCTTGAATTTTTAATATCAGCTTTATAAACTAATTTCGTGAGGTCATTCAATGGCTTTATGACCTCCAGTGGTCTAGGGTTCAGCTAGACATTCAGGCCTACCCTGGGCCCAGATACAAACACTGCATATAATCAGAGGGGCTTTCTCTGCCTCCCCAGATGACAGCTCAGATGTGAAAACAAAACGGTGGAGTGGTTCCAAGACTTAACCATGGCTTAGAAATTTCATGTTTCTTAGCCCAGGAGTAAGGCCTTTGCTTCCAAGGTTTTGCAGGGAATGGCATGATTATATTTTTTGTACTTCGGGAAGCCTAAAACTGTGGCTTCTCACCTCATGCCTTCCAGTCCAGATGCCAATTACGGGCCATTTTTACCAAAAGCAATATTGTCTAATAATATTATTTGATTAGGTTGCCAGGGTCAGAGTACTAGACTTAACCAAAGGTCTTTTTTTCCTCAGGAAGGACTTTTGTTAACCCTTTACTAACATGTCATAATCCCTTGAAAAAAATTTTTTTTTTAAGATTTTATTTATTTATTTGACAGAGACAGAGATAGCAAGAGCAGGAACACAAGCAGGGGGAGTGGGAGAGGATTAAGCATTAAGCAGTCACTCTCAGTGCCACCCTATTTCCAGCCCCTAGCAACCACTAATTTGCTTTTTGTCTCAGCCTTCATAGAATTGAATGGAGTTCAGGCCTTACTCTGAATTAGGCTTTGGCTTAAGGGAATGTTGTGGCTTGTTTGATCTTTTTTTATCCAGACCACTAAAATTTTCTGCATATCAACTATAAGGCTGTTTCACTTTCTTATCATTCGGGTGTTCACTGGAGTAGCACCATTTCCTTCAAGAAATTTTCCTTTGCATTTATAATTTGGTTGTTTGGCTCAAGAGGCCTAACTTTCAGCCTTTCTTGGCTTTTGACATGCCTTTTGTACTGAGCTTAATCATTTCTAGCTTTGGATTTAAAATGAGAGATGTGTGCCTTTTCCTTTAACTTGAATACTTAAAGGCCATTGTAGGGTTATTAAGTCGCCTAATTTCAATATTGCTGTGTCATAGGGTACAGGGAGGCCTGAGGAGAGGGAGGTAGATGGAGGAATGGCCAATTGGTAGAGCATTCAGAACACATACATTTATTGATTAAGTTTGCTGTCTTGTATGGGTGTGGTTTCATGGCACTCCAAAACAATTAAAATGGTAACATCAAAGATCACTGATCACAGATTACCATAACAAAGATAATAATGAAAAAGTTGGAAATATTTCAAAAATTAACACAATATGACAAAGACACGAAGTGAGCAAATGCTATTGGAAAAATGGTGCTGACTACTGGGTATTTACCCCAAAGACACAGATGTAGTGAAAAGAAGGGCCACATGCACCCCAATGTTCATAGCAGCAATGTCCACAATAGCCAAACTGTGGAAAGAGCCGAGATGCCCTTCAACAGATGAATGGATAAAGAAGATGTGGTCCATATATATAATGGACTCTTAGCCATCAGAAAGGATGAATACCCAACTTTTACATCAACATGGATGGGACTGGAGGAGATTATGCTAAGTGAAATAAGTCAAGCAGAGAAAGTCAGTTATATGGTTTCACTTATTTGTGGAACCTAAGGAATAGCATGGAGGACATTAGGAGAAGGAAGGGAAATATGAAGGGGGCGGAAATCAGAGGGGGAGACGAACCATGAGAGACTATGGACTCAGAAACAAACTGAGGGTTTTAGAGGGGAGGGGAGTGGGGGGATGGGTTGGCCTGGTGATGGGTATTAAGGAGGGCACGTATTACGTATTATATGGAACCCTGGGTGTTATATGCAAACAAGGAATCATGGAATACTACATCAAAAACTAATGATGTAATGTATGGTGACTAACATAACATAATAATAAAAAAATCATAACAACAACAAGAAAAAGGAAAAATGGTGCTGATAGACTTCCTCCACGCAGGGTTGCCACAAACCTTCAATATGTAAAACCCAGAGTATCTGTGAAGCACAATAAAGCAAAGTGTACTAAAATAAGGTATTCTGTAATTGTCTTCTCTCTCTCTCTTTTTTTTTTAAGATTTTATTTATTTATTTGAGAGACAGAGAGAATGAGAGAGAAAGCACATGAGATGGGGGGAGGGTCAGAGGGAGAAGCAGACTCCCTGCTGAGCAGGGAGCCCGATGCGGGACTCGATCCAGGGACTCCAGGATCATGACCTGAGCCGAAGGCAGTCGCTTAACCAACTGAGCCACCCAGGCGCCCTCTCTCTCTTTTTTTTGTCTCTAGCAAAAGTCTTGTCAATTTTTAAAAATTTTTATTTATTTATTTATTCATGAGAGACAGAGAGAGAGAGAGGCAGAGGGAGAAGCAGGCTCCCCGCGGAGCAGGGAGCCAGATGCGAGACTCGATCCCAGGATTCTGGGATCGTGACCTGAGCTGAAGGCATACGCTTAACTGACTGAGCCACCCAGGCACCCAAGGCTTGTCAATTTTGTTCATCTTTTTTTTTAAATTTTTAATTTTCTTTTCTTTTTATTTTTTTTAAAGATTTTATTTATTTGACAGAGAGAAACACAGCGAGAGAGGGAACACAAGCAGGGGGAGCGGGAGAAGCAGGCTCCCTGCTGAGCAGGGAGCCCGATGCAGGGCTCGATCCAAGGACCCTGGGACCATGACCTGAGCCAAAGGCAGACGCTTAACGACTGAGCCACCCAGGTGCACCTGTTTTAAATTTTAAGATTTTATTTATTTGACAGAGAGACACAGAGAGAGAGGGAACACAAGCATGGGGAGTGGGAGAGGAAGAAGCAGGCTTCCCGGCGAGCAGGGAGCCTGATGTGGGGCTCCATCCCAGGACCCCAGGATCACGACCTGAGCCAAAGGCAGACGCTTAACCAACTGAGCCACCCAGGCGCCCCAATTTTGTTCATCTTTTTTAAAGAAACCAACTTTCGTTTCATTGATTTTCTTTATTGGTCTCCTTTCTCTATTTTATCTCTAATCTTTATTATTTCCCTCATTATGTTGGCGTGGGTTTAGTTTGCTCTTTTTCTAATTTTTTAATTTGTAAAGTTAGATTGTTGATTTGAGATCTTCTTTCTTAATGTAAGCTTTTACAGGTCTATAACTTTCCTCCTTAGCATTGCTTTCACTGTGTTCTATGAGTTTTGGTAGGTTGTATTTTTGTTTTCATTCATCTCTAAGTATTTTCTAATTTTCCTTATGATTTCTTTTTTCTTTTTTTAAGGTTTTATTTATTTATTTGACAAGAGAGACAGCGAGTGAGGGAATACAAGCAGGGGGAGTGGAAGAGGGAGAAGCAGGCTTCCCAGCGAGCAGGGACCCCGATGTGGGGCTCAATCCCAGGACCCTGGGATCATGACCTGAGCCGAAGGCAGACGCTTAACGACTGAGCCACCCAGGTGCCCCTTATGATTTCTTTTTTAATCCATTGGTTATTTCAGAGTATGTTGTTTAATTTCTAAAATTTTTTGAATTTTCTAGTTTTCCTTTCTGTTGTTGGTTTCTAACTTTGTCATGTTGTGGTTGGAAAAGTTACTTTGATATCTGTCTTAAAAAATGAACTTGGGGCACCTGGGTGGCACAGTTGGTTAAGCATCCGACTCTTGGTTTTGGCTCAGGTCGTGATCTCAGGGTCATGAGATTGAGCCCCATGTCAGGCTCTGCGCTTAGCGTCGGGCTCTGTGCTCAGCGTAGAGTCTGCTTAGGTTTCTTTCTCTCTCTCTCTCTCTCTCCCTTTTCCTCTGCCCTTTCCCCCTGCTCTCTTTCTCTCTCAAATAAATAATCTTTAAAAAAAAGAACTTTAATTCTTACCTGTGCCATATACAAATAGTATTTCAAGATGGATGATAGACCTACATGAAAAATTTTAAATTATGAAACTTTCAGAAAATACTAAAAAAATCTTTGTGAACTTAGGCAATTGTTTGGTGTTATAACACCAAAAGCATGGCCCATAAAAGAAAAAAGTGATAAATTGGATCTAATCAAAATTAAAACTTCTGTTCTTTGAAAATCACTGTTTAGAAAAAGGAAAGAAGACACGAACAAATAACCTTTGCAAAGCATATATGTACTAGAGGACTTGTATCCAGAATGTATAAAGGGCTCTTAAGAGTTAATAATAAGAAAACAAACAACTCAATTAAAAAATAGGCAAAAATTTGAATAGACACTTCAGCAGAGTAGACTTACAGACAGCACATAAACTTATAGAAAAATGCTCAACATCATTAGTTATTAGGGATATGCATATTACCATAGTGAGACCCTACTAGAATAACTAAAGTTAAAAAGAACATACCAAATATTGATGAGGATGTGGAGGGACATCTCTTTGGGAAATAGTTTGGCAGTTTTCTCAAAAAGTTAAACCTACCATATGATCCAGCCGTTTCCACTTTTAGCTATTTATTCAAGAAAAAAGAACGTGTGTGTGTGTGTGTGTGTGTGTGTGTGTGTGTGTGTGTGTGTATATATATACACACAAAGACTTCTGCATGAAAGTTCATAGTAGCTTTATTTGTAATAGCTAAAACTAGAAAACAGTCAACATGTACAGATGAACTGTAATGTATCTTCACATGGAATAATATTCAGCAATGAAAGGAAAGAACTTGTTATCTGCAAAAACATGGACAAATCTCAAAATAATTATGCTAAATGAAAGAAGCTAAACAAAAAGCGTGTACTTAGGATTCCATTTACATAAACTTTAGAAAATTCAAACTGATCTGTAGTGGCAGAAAGCTGATCAGTAGTTGCTTGGGGATATTGAGGGGGACCCTAAAGAGAGGTAGGTGGGTAGATTACAAAGGTATATGAGGAAACTTAGGGATGATGGATAGATTCACTATCTTGATGCAAATCTACCTTCAGGTAACTTATTGCTTAGTTGAAGAGACAACATAAACACTTCAGAAGTTTAATAAACAGTAAAATAGTAATATTTTTTTTCCTTTTTTCCCCCTCCAGGTTCCTGTTGCATGTAAATCTTGTCCCTGTGGTTATGTATTTATTAATAGGAAACTTCTAAAAGTAAAACAGAGAAATCATCACCTTTTACAGGTAATTGAGAGAGTTTACCACCTTTCTGTTTTTTTATGGTTTCCATTATATAAACTTAAAATTAATTTTTTGTGAGTTAAATTTTTTTTTTGCTGATGAATTGTAATACTAAAATCTATTGAAGTGTATCTTTGGTTTTTATTGGATACAATACGTCATTTACATTGATCTTTATCCAATTTAAATGTTAACTCCTTTACTGATAAATTTTGTAACAAATTTTAAGGAGAAATTTTAATTAGAAAATGTTAATTGGAAGAAAGGGAACCTCGACTTTAGTATTACAATTTTTTTAAGTACCAGTTTTTTTTTTTTGATTCACTGATTTAGACTATCTAAAAAATTGCCCACTTCAATTTTGTTTGAGTTTCTAGCTTTACTCCTATTTTTTCCTATGATAAAATCACATGTTGTAACAGTAGTCAACCCAAAATGGTAGTAGTTTTATTACAAACAATTATTGAGTGCCTAACATATGCCAAGTACTATGTATCTTGGGCATACAGCAATAAATCTACTTCCAAGACAGTTTCAGTACTGTCAAAGTGGTTGAAGATATATGCATAGGAATACACATACGGGATATACAGGGAAAATATCAGCTAGTAATAAGTGCTGGGTAGGAAATTAAAATAGGATACTGTCCTATAGGTTAACTGGAAGGCTTCTTTTGATTGAGTGGTCCAGGGAATGCATCTCTGAGGAGGAGATTTTATAACTTCTGAATGGATGAAGGGGCTAGACATATGAAAACCAGGGAAAGTAAATTCTAGGCACAGGGAATTTGAAGAGTACTTTTTTTTTAACTTTAAGAAGTATATATCTTAGCATTAAAGGCTAGTATCTTATTTAAATGGGGAAATGCTACAGGCATTTCCATTCATATCAGGAACAAGGCAAGCATCCTAACTATCTTCACTACTATTCAGTATTATGTTAGAGGTAAATTAGCCAAGGCAATTAGATAAGAGAAGTCAGTAAGAGGCATAAAAATGGGTAAAGAGCAAGTAGAACAATATCTCTTTGCAGATGATAGTATAGCTGGACTCCAGAGAATTAATAATAAAACTAACTTGTACAGTAAAAGAATTGAGTGAAGTATTGGGATTTAAAATTAACATACAAAAATCAGCTTTCATATATAGAAATAGCTTATACTGATCATAATGTTAGAGAAAAGCCCATTTACAATAGCAACATTAAATGTTTAGGAATAAATTTAATAAGAATGGCCTAAAACCTATACAAGGAAAATTTTAAACACTCCTAAAAGACAATAAAGCAGATGGAAGCAAATGGTAAAGCATCCCTTGTTCTTGAATAGGATGATTCAACATCATAAAGATGTTAATCCTCCCAAGTTAATTTGTAAAATCAATGCAATTTTAATAAAAATCCTAACAGGTTGATTTATTGAGTTAGGCTGATTTTAAGGTTCATATGGAAAATTAAACATGCAAAAATAGCCAGAAAATTTGTCAATTGACTTTTAGTGAAGAAGGAAATTAGAAGAATTTCCTTCTAAGGAAATTAATGGGAAAGAATAGTCTTTTCAACAAATGGTATTGGGATACCATGCTGGATATGCAAAAGAATGAAGTTGGGACCCTATCTCATGCCATACATAAAAATTAATTCAAAATATGGGGTCCCTGGGTGGCTCAGTTGGTTAAGCATCCAAGTCATGATTTTGGGTCAGGTCATGATATCAGGGTTGTGGGATCAAGCCCCGTGTTGGGCTCAACATGGAGTCTGCTTCTTCCTCTTCCTCTGCTCCTCCCCTGGCTCATGCACTCTCTCTCACTCTATATCTCTAAGATAAATTTTTAAAAAATCTTAAAAAAATTAATTCAAAATATCATAAACCTAAGTGTAAGAGCTAATAAAACTATAAAACTCCTAGAGGAAAGTGTAACAGTAAATCTTAGTTACTTTGGGTTAGGCAGTGTTTTCTCAAATATGACACCCAAAGCTCAAATGACATAAATAAATAAGTAAATAAATAAATAGGGCTATATCAAAATTTAAAACTTTTTTTTTTTGCTGCAGATGATATCAAGACAACTCACAGAATGGGAAAAATATTTGCAAATCACATATCTGATAAGGGACTTGTATCCCTAATATATAAAGAACTCTTACTCCTCAATGATAAAAAGAGAAATAACCCAATTTAAAAATTGGGCAGAGGATTTGAATGGAATTTGTCCAAAGAAGATATGCAAATAACCAGTAAGTACACCAAAAGATGTTCAACATTATTAGTCATTAGGGAAGTGCAGATCAAAATAATGAGATACTAGTTCACACCACTAAGATGCAATAATAAGAGAAAATAAAAAGTATTGGTGAAGAAGTGGAAAAGCTGAAACCCTCATATGCTGCTATTAGGAGTGTAAAATGGTACAGACACTTTCGAAACAATCTGCCATTTCCTCAGATGATTAAATATAGAGTTATAATATGATCCACAATTCTACTCTAGGTATAAATTCAAGACAGTTGAAAACAGAAGTGGACACAAAAACTTATATATGAATGTTATTAGCAGCATTATTCTAATAGTTAAAAAGTGGAAACAGTCCTGATATCCATCAACTGATGATAATATTTGACAGTAAAAAGAAAGGAAGTATTGATATATGCTACAAAATGAATGACTTTTGAAAATGTGCTTTGTGCAAGAAGCCAGTCACAAAAGATCACATACTTTATGATTCCAATTATAGAAAATGTCCACATAGGCAAATTTGTAGATAATAAATAGATTAATGGTTTAGGGCTCGGAAAGGGATGGGGGGAGAATGGGAAACAATTGCTAATGGGTACAGAGTTTCTTTAGTAGAAAGAAACTTGGTTTGTCCTAAAACTGGATTCACAATCCCGTGTATGTACTAAAAACCACTGAATTGTACGTTTTAAATGGGTAAATTGTATGGGATGTGAATTATATCTCAATAAAACTGATTGTATTTTATTTATTTTTAAAGATTTATTTATTTATTTTAGAGAGAGCATGAGCAGGAGGGGTAGAGGGAGAGGGAGAGAGAATCTCAAGCATACTCCACGCTGATCACGGAGCCCGACTTGGGGTTTGATCTCAGGACCCTGAGATCATGACCTGAGCCGAAACCAAGAGTTGGATGCTTAACCAACTGTGCCACCCGGGTGCCCCAATAAAACTGATTTTAGAAATAGCCAGGAAAATACTGAAAAAGAGAAACTGCCAGGGTTGGATAGCCCTACCAGTCATTAAAATATATTATAAAGCCTCTGAGGTGCCTGGCTGGTTCAGTTGGTAGAGCATGCAACTCTTGATTTCAGGGTTGTGAGTTCAAGCCCCACACTGTATGTGGAGCCTACTTAATTAAGAGAATGAAAAAAATGTGTGTGTGTGTGTATATATATGATAAAACCTCTATAATTAAAACGTGGCATTGGCAGGGACAAATAGGCCAGTGGAAAAGAATTAAAAGTGCAGAATTAGACCCAAATTCATATGGAAAGTTAGTATATGACAAAGGTGGTATTTCAGATCACTAGGGTAAAGTTAGACCTTTTTTTTATTGTAAAATATATATAAATAACATTTATCATTTTAACCATTTATAAGTGTACAATTCAGTGGCATTAAAAACATTCACAATACTGTGTCTTCATCACTGGTATTTTACTTAAAACTTTATCATCCCCAACATAAACCCTGTACCCATTAAACAGTCTCTTCCTCCCCACCCCTGCCCTGCCCCCAAACACCTCCCCCCAGTCCCTGTCAGTCTTTCCTTCGTATCTCTGTAAATGTGCCTATTCCAGGCACCTCATATATAAGTGGGACCATACAGTATTTGTCCTGTGTCTGGCTTACTTTATTAAGCATAATGTTTTCAAGGTCTACTCATATTGTAGCATATATCAAAATTTCATTACTTTTTATGTCTGAATAATTACCATCTTATGTGGATGCCACGTTTTTTAATCCATTCATCTGCTAATGGGCAACAACTAGGGTTGTTGTAATGAACATTGGTGTATAGATATTTTGTTCAGACCCCTGGTGTCAGTTCTTTTGGATATATACCTAGGAGTAGAATTGCTGGGTCATATGATAGTTTTGTGTTTAACCTTTTGAGGAAATGCCAAACTGTTTTCCATAGTGGTTGTGCTGTTTTACATACCACAAGCAGTGCACAGGGGTTCCAGTTTCTCTTATTCCTACCAAAATTTGTTAGATTTTCCTTTTTTTTTTTTTTTTCCAGAGAGAAAAAGTGTGTAAGCAGCGGTTGGAGGAGGTGGGGAGGGGCAGAGAGAGAGACTCTTAAGCAGGCTCCATGCTCAGCGAGGAGCCTGTCACGGGGTTCTGTCTCATGACCCTGAGATCATGACCTGAGCCAAAAATCAAGAGTCAGATGCTTAACAGACTGAGCCACCCAGGTGCCCCTGATGTTTTTTTTTTTTTAATTGCCACCCTTGTAGGTGTAAACTGTTATCTTACTTGACATGCATTTCCCTAAAGACTAGCAGTCTTAAGCATCTTTTCATGGGCTTATTGGCCATTTGTATATCTTCTCTGGAGAAATGTCTATTCAACTCCTTTGCCCATTTTTAATTGGGTTGTTTTGGTTGTTTGTTAAGCTGTAGAAGCTCTTTATATATTTTCAGTATTAATCCCTTGTCAGAAGTATGATTTGCAAGTATATTTTTGCCATTCTGTAGGTTGTCCTTTCACTTTTTTTTTTTAAAGATTTTATTTATTTGTCAGAGAGCACAAGCAGGGGAGCGGCAGGCAGAGGCAGAGGGAGAAGCAGACTCCCCACTGAGCAGGGAGCCCGATGTGGGGCTCAACCCCAGGACTCTGGGATCATGACCTGAGCCGAAGGCAGACACTTAACCAACTGAGCCACCCAAGAGTTCCTTTCCTTTCACTTTCTTGATAGTGTCCTTTAATGCACAAATTTCTTAATTTTGATGAGGTCCAACTTATCTATTTTTTCTTTGATTTT